GCTGGGGAAGAAGCCCCGGGGGCCAGTACGTGCTCACCTGCTAAGCCTGCGGGACAAAACATCGGGCAGTCCTCTCCCTTGAGGGTGACCACCAGCTCTGCTCTGTCCCTGGAACCCATGTCCGGTTCCCTGGGATCCCAGGGTGGGGGGCCGCTCTGCTCTGCCCCGGGGGCCACTGAATCTGACCCCACTCTCTAGCACCTGACAGCCACAAGAAGCAACAGAGGTTGGTTTGGGGCTGGTTCACCAGTTACTTGGTCAACCTGGACGCCACCTGTCTTTGTGACCGAAACAGGAGCCCTGGCCCTTGGAAACACGGAGGGGAGGCCGAGCCTGGTGGTGGACAGCAGGAGGGGTGGGGAGTGCTGGGTTTCTTGTGCAGTTTCGGATTTCCTCTGTGGGCGCGGCCGCACCTGGCAGATGAGGTGTGGGGGGGGGGTGTCCCCGTGGTGTGTGACGTGTATGTGTGGTGCTTCCCTCTGCAGAGGCCGGGGCCCTCGGGGACCTGCCCTCGGCCCTCTTGGTGGACGACGCAGAGCAGACCTGAGGAGTGGCCGGAGCACCCCACCCCGCTCTCCGCCCCCATGCTGTACTGTGACCTCCCGGCTAGCTCACTTCTTCTGAGTGATCCAATAAAAACCTAGCACCTGCCTGCAGCAACCTGGTTCTTCAGGATTTGTCTTCCCGTGGCTGTTACGGTGGTGGTGGTGGTGGAGGGGGGGGGGGCATTTGGGAAGGTCCTGGTGTCCCCGTGGGTGAAGCATGGGCTGCTGACTGAGAGGCTGGGGCATTTGGACTGGCCAGCTGCGCCGGGAGGAAGATGGGGCCATTTGATTCTGTAAAGATGACAGACAGGCAGTCTGTCTGTGCTACAATAACTCAGTGTGGATTCTAAGGTACGGCGACCCCCTGGGGCAGGGTAGAGTTAGTTCCCCCTGTGAGTTTCTGAGGCTGTCACTCGTTATAGGAGCGGCTGGTGGTTTCGAACTGCTGACCTTGCAGTTAGCAGCCCAGTGCATAACCTACCACTCCACCAGGGCTCCTAGAACAATCGGGTGGGGGAGGGGGGCTGCAGAAGCAGATCCCTGCCCCTTATTCTGGGTGACGGGCTAGAGTACAAATGTGTTTCGTTGCCAGAGGGGGGAAGGGGCAGTTTTTCGGTTTATTTGCTTGTTTCCTGAAAGGGGGACAGTTGGCCCGTACGTGTGGGAACCTCTGATTTAAAAGAAACTGCAGGGTCGTGCATCTGGTAAGAGACTCTCAGAAGGATGTGTCTGCCTTGAAATCTACCTCAACCTTGCAAATGTGTAAGCCCCAGATGTCGGGGGCCTGGCGTTCTACACAGATCCGCCAGGAGAGGCAATCACAGTGGCCCTGGCCCGGGATTCATAGTTGGAGCCCCCCAGGGACACCTGGTCCCCGTAATAACTTTATGGCAGGAGAAAGCCTCGTCTTTGTCCTGAGGAGCAGCTGACGGCTTCGAACTGCTGACCTTGCAGTTAGAAGCCCAATGCACAGCCACGGGGCCCCCCAGGGTGTTAAGGGTCTGGATCCACTCCTGGGCCTTGGGGAACTGTGGAGAACATCTCAGAGACAGAGACACCCCTGTCTCCCACTGCACATCCAGGGGATACAGGTTATCTCCTTAGTGGGTGGAGCCAGGCAGCATGGGGATGCTCTGCGGGCTGCGGCTTCAGAGGGGCTCTGTGCCCTATTCACGGAGTCACGTGGGCAGCTGGCTGACCGTGCAGGTGGGCAGGCAGGGTGGTTGGGGAGCACTTCGGGATAGCGAGGTAAATGCAACGGGCAGTTCAGCTGTTTGAGAGCTTGGGAGACTGGCTAATGCCACTGGGTACTGAAGACAGCCATGAGTGACAGCCGCTAGAACCACGTGGACGGGGGTGGGCTGGGGTGGGTGGGGACCAGGTAAGGAGTGGCATCCGTGCGCATGCGCGCGCATGGACAAACCGCCGGGAGGGGTGTTGTCCGGTAGGGTCCCTGAGGTCGTGCGGCTGCTGCGCTTCCCTGGAGCAACTCCGTGGGTCCAGGGGCGGGGTCACCAGGCCTTTCTTCCGTGGGCCTCTGGGCCGGGCGGACTTGAACTTCCAACCCTGTGTATTCACCACGGCTTCTCCCCAGCGCAGTAGCTTCAATCTCACCAGGGGGCCACACCCTGGGGCGGGGGGCGCTGCAGGAAGGCCCAATGTCCTGGCCCCCGCGGGCCACCTCGTCCTGGTTTCTTAGCACGTGCTCAGGACCCAGCGTTTCCTGGAGCTCCCCGGTGACTAACTGGTCAGGCAGCTGGGCTTGGGAGTCGCCGCGAGGACCTGCCTCCAGTCGAGAGTGGTTTTCAACCTTCCTAATGCCGCCACCCCTTCGTACAATTCATGTGGGGGTGACCCCCAACCATAACATTATTCTCGTTGCTACTTCATCACTGTCATTTTGCTACGGTGATGAATCAGGCGACTCCTGTGAAAGGGTCGTTTGACCCCCGGAGGGGTCGCGACCCACAGGTTGAGAACCGCTGCTCTAGCGGGAAGGAGGACATCTGCAGACTGGCCAGAGGGAGAGGTGCAGCCGCTGCTGCCCTGCCCTGGCTGTGGGTCCGCCCCCGCCCCCGCCCCTGCCTAGCACTCTTGCCACCAGAACCTTTCCTGACTCGGGGAACATACCAGGGGGTGTGGGGAACAGATGAATTTCTCTCAAGCTGTCTCCCCCCAAAATATGTACCAGACTTAGCTGCTTGAGAATGACTGTACACTAGGCGGTCAGCGAAAGCAGGTCAGAGGTTATTCTCCTTAACATCAGCCATCTAGAGCAACCAGACTGTATAGTCTGACTCACCCTAAGTAGGGCCCAGACCCTTCTGCTATTGTCCCCTTGAAGCAGTGCCCAAAGGCAAGCCCGGGACCACTCTAAGATGACTAAGCTCATCGAGTCCAGGGTCCACCCATCTCGCCACACATGCCCCCTATTCCCTCCTCTTACTATTGCGCGTTCACCCCTAGGTCATCCCCCTCCTATTGCTTGTGTTGCCTATGTTGCAACCCCTCCCTATGACGTAGGTTGTTGTGAATTGTACTGCCCCTTTCTGTGATGCATGATTCTGTAATCAGATCCCCCAAAGTGATATGATGCATGGTTAGAAATAAATAAGGAGGCTCCCTGGTTCTCGGGAGGGAAGAGGCCAAGGGCGGCTGCTCCCGAGAGGGAGGCGGCTCCCCCTCGCAGCCAGGTTCCCCCCACGAGGACCACCAAGCGGGGCAGAGGTGAGCAATGTTATCATGTAACGTGTCTGACTGCATTGTTGGACTATCTCTCATGCTCTTGATGACTTTAATATAATACTTATATATTTCTACCCTACAATTGTGCTTACTGAACCCGTGGGTAGTAGTAGCAATGGGTGGGGGCTGGCCCCCCCACCCCCATCATCAAATTTAATACTACAAGGGGGCTTGAACAAGTTCTTGGGAAAATGGAATTAAAGCCTGGTGGAAGTTTCCCACATTTAGAAACCATCCCCATTCACATTTCAGCCTCTCGGGTTTCTTGGGAAGCTGGTGTCCCAGTTGTAGTCCCTGCTGCTGCCTGGTGGGCGTGCGGCATACCTGTGAGCGCTGGAAGAAAGGGCCCCACCCACCAGATCTGCTGCCAGAGTCCACTGGGATGCATGTGTCCCACACAGGAGTTTCAAATCCATAGCACCCCACATTGTTTTCGTGGGTTCCTTGATTCCAGTGTGCCTTTTGTTGTCAAAAACACGTGGCATCAACAAAAATGCCAAGGCAGAGGATAATTTAGTCACGAAAGGGTTAATGTGGGCCCCTCTCCTGTCTGGCTTCCCTCAGGGTATGACCTCTGCTCCCTCCACTCTCCCAGTCCAGCCCCCAGTTGTCAGCCTCCCACCTCGAAGCCCCTAAATCTACATGTTTCACAACTTTTCCAGGGCTCCTGCTGCCCCTGCCGCCCCTCCTCAGGACCAGGCCTCCACCCCCAGATTCTTCCTGCCCACGCCCCCCCCACCCCCCACCCCCGCCCCCTCGAGCATCACCTCTCCATTCTGCAGCCAATGGCACCTCCCACCTGTAGCCAGTCTGCCTGGCTGGCAATAGATTTTGGAGACACAGAGGAGATTATTCTAAAATTTATTTGGAAAGGCCAGGGAGCTCCGGTTTTGAGACCAAACTGGGAGGAATCGGTCTACTGATCTGAAAACGGCTGAGTTCCCAGAATCAAGACAGAGTGATGTTTGGCCGGTCAACACAACAGACCAGAGGATCCAGACATCCAAGCCCAGCCCACTGCCCCAGAGTCGATTGTGACCCACAGCGGCCTTCCTCGGAGGCCGAGGAAACGCCCCACTGCGGTCTCTTTGGAAGCAGACTGCCATGCCTGTCTGCCATGAAGCAGCTGGTGGGTTCAGACCACCGCCTTTAACCACAGGGCCTCCAAGGCTCTTTAACCTAAAAGTCCCCACGCCAAAGGCACTGCCCTCGAGTCTATGCTGACTCACAGTGACCCTGCAGGATAATGCAGAGCTGCCCCGTGGGTTTCCAGGGCGGCAACTCTTATTAGGGGCAGACAGCCTCATTTTGCTTCCTTGGGATGGCTGGTGGCTTTGAACCAGTGGCCTTGTGGTTGGTATTTGATGGAGATGCTAACACGGTTTGGGGGCGGCAGGGTAGTCTTTTCAGCACATGGTGCCGGGGAAGTGGACACCTGAGGACCCTCAATCTCAAAGTCTCTACAGTGTCTACTCAGACTGGCCATGGCGTCCATGTCCGAGGTAGCCTGTGAAACAGCAGCAGAAGCCTTCAGGGTCTGGGCCAGGCCGCAGTTCTTCAGCCAGGCACCAACACAGAGTCCGTCAAAGAAGCATGGAGACCGTAGAGTTCATTTTTAAGAAGAGGGTGTGTGTGTGTGTAGAGAGAGCCCCTGTGAGGAAGATGAAAATACAAACTATTATCTGGTAGTGGGGGGGATGGGGACGGCAGGTGGGACGATCGTGAACTGAGTATCTGATCAAGGAACAGACTGACGGAAGGTGTGTCAAAAAGTATTGCCACCAACCCGTAGAAACAGAAGTATCAAAATGTGGAGCTGTATCGTTTCTCAGTGGAGCCGAGGTGAATCTGCCAGTCTCTGTTTCCTGGAGGATTCCACACGGTGTGAGGGACAGTGTATCCCAAAGGGGGGTTGGGCCTCCTCAAAGCTCTCCACATGGGATGCTTCTCTCTGCCCTCTGAGTTTGGAGAACAAGAAGAAGTCTGGGCTACAGCAATGAAACTATCCATAGAGTTACCTTATGCCTCAGGGGGATGATTTATAATGTTATCTATCATAAGACGATAATGTTTCCAAAGTGAACCAGAGGTAAATATAAGCCAAAGACATTGGAAAGGATTTTGGGGTCACACTTAATTCTAGCCCCAATCTAAGAGGAATTAGTTCTTATGACACGCCCCTGCTTGAAGCCGGCCCTCGTGAAGAGGTCGCTGAAGAGATGGATGCTGTAGCAAAGTGTGGTGAAGGAACTAGGTGGTGCCTGACTATCAGGAAG